GGAGGGAGGGGAAATGTATTTTTTTGTAAAGTGTACCGCGGAACTGGTTTCTTTGTTTTTTCAATGCATTTATCCAATGTGCTTGTATAAAAGAAAATGTATAAAAATTCTTTTTAAAAAAACAAAAACAAAAAAAACCCTGTTGTCTTTTTTAGTTTAACCTAATGTTAATGTTAGTTTGGAGTTTTATTTCCAGTACAGACTCTCTCCCCCTTTCCTCCTACTTTTCCTCCTACCCCACCCCAGTGTGTGACCTTCCTTGAGACACATTAAATAAACATTTAAATAATTTCTAAAAGCAAATGTCTCTTTCTGCTTTTGTACAGGCCTATAGGATTACACGTGTGTCTGCATCATAATTTAATGACCTCTAGCAAGCTTAGAAGAGCTGTATTGTAATGGGAGAGCATTACCATAGGTAGAATTCCAGCAGTAGCACAACCTTATTGTTCTAAGGCAGTGATATCTCGGTGTGTTTTGCTGTACCGCTATATCGCCTGAAGCAGAATAGAACCCTCTGATGTAGAAGGGGTCTTGAGCTGCAACGCGCACTGGTCACTGCTCTGTTTTTCATTTTATTTAGTAATAGCATGAAAAATTGGAATCTGTAGAAAAAAAAAGTTGCTCTATCCAAATGGCTTTTTTTAATTTTAGTCTTTTACTTACCTGTCTTATATACTACAGAACAAAGTCACATTTTAAAGGGCTCTGGAGTGGCTCGCCTACTAAATGTGCTCATTCTAAGTGCAGGCTAACCCATGCAGATTAGACGCAGCTAGTGCGGAGCTTGGGTTCAGTCATTAAAGTGCCGTCAGTTGACCAAGCTTCACCAGATTGTGAATCGGCTCAAATGCCTGGAGTCACCACCCACCACCCCATTGTCTTGCAGGGTGCCTGAGGGCCACTGATGCAGTCGGTCAGAGCTGCATCTCTTTCGTTTTGATGCTAACTGCTGTTGGAGTAGGCTCAGAAATCTTTGCTAGCCCATGTCCAAATTTGGAGGATCTTGATACGGTCCTGTAGTGATATGGTTTGTAGTTGGAAGCACTAGTGATTCCAAAGATGATAGACAGGGTAGCTTAAAGGAAGTTGTGATTTCTCTTTAAACATGCTTTAACCTGTAAGATAGCAATTAAATGGAGAGGACCTTGGCCTAGACTTAATTACAAGATCAGGTTTCCTCCCTTACAATCACAATCATTGTGGTCTCGTTTTCTCTAGCAGGTGCTTATAGCAGAGGCACCGTCTTGCCTTCAGAAACTAAATGCAAGAAAAGCTGGTTTACTAGTTTTTGCTAATCCTGATCAGTAACGATTAATCTGTCCAGGTCTTCTTTAGCTGTAGGCATTAAATCTCTAAGTGCAGACATGTAAATAGTTGTTCACCATACACTACTGAGGAAGAAACACGAAAGCAATGGGCCAAGAAATTTGTAATGTGCTGGCAATTTGTGTAGTTCAGACTGGTATTGAAAGACAAGCCTGGGAAAAGGAAAGGGCAGGGGGTTTAACCTTCCAATGAACATGGGTTAACAGTTTCTGTGCTATATATCTGCAGTGTTAAAGGTCATTTAAAGTGGAGAGTAGTGGGAATCCCCCTGATCTGTGTGTGCGTCACTTTATGAGCTGCCACTGGAGGCTTGAGAGGAATTACAAATACAATTTGTCAAATGCGAATTGCAGAGATCGTGGAGATGAAAGGAAAAGTGTATAAGTAGCTGTACACTGACAAAGCTGTGCTCTGCCTTTAAAGTTTCCTTGGAGACGGGAGAATGTCAATATTTTAATGCGCAGTACTGCATATGCCTGTATTCTATAAAACACACCTCCGGTCACGTAAGATGTTTAATCTATTTTGTTCGAGGCAAGATGGATCTGGCTCAAAAACAAGATCCCTTGTTTTATTTAAAAAAAAAACAGGAATGATTCTTTTGCTTGAGGGATCAAATTTAGGATTGTAAATCACTTTCATGCCATAGTCTGTCAGAAGGATATAGGCACTTGTCTCACTAGCCAGGGGCTCGGCTACATTAGTGCTGGTGTTTGTTGAATTGCTGCAGGCATTTGTGCATTTGTGCCTGCCTTGCCTTCTCTAGCACCTAACACAGTGAGAGGGGAATCTATAAATGTCAGACACTGTTCCCCTGGGGAACTTATTGTAGGTGGTCCATGAAGATTATGTTGGTGGTGCCTGTTGGATAGTGAAAGGATAGGAAGCTCTTTCTGAACATGCATTTTTTGGAAGGTATTATTTATCTTATTCTATAGGTCTTACATATAGAATATTCTATAGGTAGTGTTTATCTTATGCTATAGGTCTTAAAACTACCGTGTAAAGGAAATGAAAACATATCTCAATTGTCAGCCATTATTATATATTTGCAGATCCTGTGTTGCATTCACAAAATATTGTAGCATGATTTTTAGAGATTTATTTGAGAGTGCAAACATTTGCATTTAGAGATCTATATCTGCACAACATTACAAAGAGATTTCTGCAGAACGCTGAGCACCATGTTTGCCCTGGCCTACATTTTCTGTCACTGCAGAACACTACAAGAGAGCAGAGTCCTCAATCAGCACCTACACTTCTTGAGACCCAATTGTCAGAATATGGCCAAACTGTTCAACCTGATTTACTTTGTCTCCTTGAAAATAGGATAACAGCACATGAGGAATGCGTGTGCTCAGAATATCCTTCCTACTGCACACTAGAGACTAGCTAAAGACAGGGCTAGAGAGAGGTAGGCTGTTGTCCAGTGCTGTTCCAGACCCATCCTAGAGACATAAATCCTGAAATTAAACATTGGATCTAGCAGTCTGCAATGTGTGCTCTTGCATATGGGAATGACAACTGTAAAGTCTGGAAGGAGAAAAACAAGAAATTTTGGCTCACTGGCACTTCTTAGTGTGTGGTTACTTCATCATTCTTTACTTTACAGGAAGGCAAACAATTGGGGGGGTGGGGGGGAATCAAGACCACTTAGGAAAAGCAGAACTGGATCTCATCAGAAACAAACCAAAAAAAATAATAATTAAGGCTGAAACTTTAATGAAGTGAATTGAAGAAAAAAAAAAAACCACCACCACTAGGGCATCGAAATGTGAGACCCCCAAAAAAGACAGACATCTGGTCCATCCTTGAAGGGTAAGTCCCTAAATAAAACAAAAAAAAACAGGTCAGAAATCTTGTACCCCACCCCTCCCCTCTTCCCCCAGTTTTTATTGCATCTTTATTTGCAGCTTGGCACACCACAGTAGCTTTAATTAACTCGGCAGTAATGGGAGGTAGCCCCTGGGACCTCATTAGGCAATTCAATTAGTGAAAAACACACAAGGTAGGTTAAGGCTTTCAGTGGCTTAGGGACAGCAAAGGCTGCCAGGGACGTACCAATTAGCCTCTTGATGGGGGGCTGGGATAGGGATACCACCCCCCAATTTAGACACACATTCTTTCAGGGACCGGCCCGGAGCCCCCGGGCGATTAAGAAGGGGGGGAGGAATGCAAACATAGATTTTTATAATAAGTGGCCAAAAAAAATTGTCAGCCAGGCTACAGGCATCACACAGGAAAGCTCTCTGTTGTACTCAGTAGCCCATAGGGAAAAAGTTCTCCTTTTTATTTCTTTAATGAAAAGGTATTAACAAAGGTGCCACTTTCAGCCTGTCCATCCATCCAGAGAGCTCATTCGACTCAAGCAGCAGCAACAGAATTTATCTGTAATACCTCCATGCTTTCAACTCCACACCCTCATCTGGTCTCGAAAATTAAATCGATTCTTTTCAAGGGTCAGAGAGAATGGTTTAGTCCTCAGTTCTCTTTTTAGTCTCACCACTTAGCACATTGAGTCTGATGTTCAGTAAGGGCTGCCTATCTGTGGATTCTGGTCGTTATTCCTGGAAACATTTGTCTAGAACCACAACACAGTAAATGAACCCTGTAAATGATCCAAAATAAGAAAAGTATTAAGTCAGAGGTGGCAAATAGAGATGTTTTAAGTTTTACCACGTGTGGATCCCATTTTTGGTGAGGCACTGAGAAACACGAAATTAGCTCAAAGGACCAAACTTAAGGAGCTGTTAACATTGTTTCACTGTTTTATTTCATTTTCCTATTGCCTATGTGAGCTCAAATGTGCTATGGAAGGGAAGCTTAAGTGTTACACAGCATGTTTCTCCAGTTAATACTTCAGCCTGGTGCGATGGTAATTTGCTTCCCCGGGTATACCACTTCCTGCCAGGGTTCAATGTAAGCATTTTGTTTTATAGAAACCATATTTCATGCTGGCTAGCGTCATCAGGCCCATCACGATATGTTTGAAAAGAAGAGAGGCAGCAGGACAGAAAAACAAAACAACTTTCATTGTTTTAAAATGTAAAAGACACATTACATTCAGATTCCTTGCAATGTTTTTTTCTCATGCCGTGCTGCCTTTCTTCGGTTTCTGAGAAGAAATCTTTAACTGTAACTGTAGATACATGAAGGTATGATCTTTCACAGGCTGCACCCTGTATAGGAAGATGAGTTACTTGCTAGATTCTCTCTCATTGGTCTCTGGCATAACATGATGTATTTTCCCCATCCACGTGTCAAATCTGTTTACAGGTCTTCCTTTGATGCCAAACAGTTCCTGTCAGCCACGGAGGGATCCTGGCCAATGAAAAGAACAAGTGCCATCCGAAATAATATTTTTTAAACACTACAGAAATAACGACGTTGTATTTTAACTGTGAATTGTTTCCACATTTTCGTTTTATAGTATATAACAACAACAAAAAAAACTCCTCAGGTCACACTTGCCATTGGATCAATATTATCCAACTACTTTATCAGCACGGTATCAGCCGTTTTCATGTTT